GATTTGAAATGAGAGGATATGGGGTACATATTTTAAAATTAAAAAATGTTTTATATTTTATATTATTTTATAGGGAAGTATTTGCAAAAAGTTCATCCCTCCTAGCTCCACACATAACACACAAAAAGATTGGTCACTCATTCCACGACTGTTTGTGGGACACTGCTATGTACAATTGGCTGCCACGTTATGCTCACAAAATACACAGTCAATCCACTTTAAAATATATTCTGTGAAGGCTTTGAGACGTCTCAATGATGTAATAAGGCGCTAGATCAAATACAAGGATTATTATTTTTTTTCACACTAATAAACTGAAATCTGGTAAAAATCTAAAATCTGTCAGGTCCGTCAGGCACAGTCTGCTGGTCGAGTAATTCTGTGTCTGACTTCCATTCATTGCTGGGCTGATTATTTAAATAGCGGAATAAAGCCAGAGGGTAAGAAGCACAAGTCTAGTTCAGACACTTTGGCTGCACCCGTCACCAAATCATACAGCAGCATCGATACTGGCCTTGGATGGAAACACAACCCAGAACATCTGTCTTACTGAGTACAGAAGAGCAGGAAACAACCTAGGAATCAAAGTTATCATTGAAAAATAGGGATAACTTTAAAAAAAACTCCTTTTTGTGTCTGTAAAGTCAGGTGAATAACATTGTATTTAACAGTGAATGATTGTTTGTGCTGGTCAGTAACAAGGGGACATAAACTCATGTTTGTCATGAAAGGGTTAAGCAGGAGGTTACAAATTTTTCACACAGTGTGTTAATGGAAGACGGAATGCTACAAGTGATGATTGAATCTAAGATCAGAAAACATTTAAAAGGGAATTGGTTAAGTATTTTAGAAAAAAAAGTGTAGAAGGGTGTGGAAAATAATTGAGGCATTTGGGATTAGAGTATTGTGTACAAAGGAACTAACACTGGCATGGACTCAATAGGCCAAATTACCTCCTGTGTTGTAGTTTCTAATGATTCTGTCAATAAGAACAAGTCAAATCAAATGTTTTATACAGGGCTTGACTTCTCCAGTTATCACCCCATCTGCAACCTACTCTCTCTCTCTCTATCTCTCTCTCTCTCCAAGGTGCTGAATGCATTGTGGCCTCCCAGTTTTGCTTCAGACCTTCTTTCCCCATAACTCCCTGCACAAATCCCAACAATCTGATCTGTACCCTGCTCACAACACTGAGTCAGCCCTGGTCAAAGCCACAAACAAGATCCTCTCCCACTGCGATCAGGGCTCTCTGGATCTCCTTGTCCTCCACAATTTCCCTGCCACTTTCTGACACTGTTGACCACTCCATCCTTCTCCACCTTCTCTCCTCTCCGATACCTGTCCCAGCAACTTTAATATATTTTCCTACCCCGCACATTGCATGTGATGTTGCTTAGGAATTTATCCTTTTTCCTCTCCTTTTCCTAGTTTTCATGTTGTCCTCTTGAGCTATCCTGCTCAGTTCCTGCCAGTACCTCCTCACCTCTGATGCTGATCATATTAACCTCCCCAGAGTCTGTGCAGAACCTCAGCATTTTGTTCAACCTTCGAATATCCTTTGAATCTTTCATTCAGCGATTCACTCACAAAATACACAGTCAATTCACTTTACAGTATATTCTGTGATTCTGTGAAGCGCTTTGCAGTCTTGAAGATGTGAAAAGGAGCTATATCAAATGCAAAGATTATTCCTATTATTATTATCCAGGCATTAACCAAGTCCATTTTTTTCCATCACTGTAACATCACTCCCCAATACAGCCAAATCCCTCATGCACACCCTTGTCACCTCCAGACTCAACTTTGTGGAGTCCTGTAGCTCAGTCGTTAGAGCACTCGCTTTGCAAGTGAGAGACCTGAGTTCAATTCCAGGCAGGGCGAAACCTTGGGCAAGTTTCCTTACTCCACACGCCTAATAATAATCCCTCCAAAACCAGAAACAATAATAAATTGGTCATTTTCAATCTATGACTGTTTGTGGGACATTGCTGTGCGCAATTGGCTGCCGCGTTCGCCCACAAATATACAGTCAATTCACTTTACATTGTGTTCTGTGAAGCGCTTTGGGACATCCTCCCGACGTGAAAAGTGCTATATCAAATGCAAGGATTATTATTATTATCCCACACCTCCACAGATCTACCATCCACAACTGAAGAGGGATTGAGGTTTCAGCAGGGATTGCTTCAGAACATTGATGCAAATTTAATTTTCAGGCTACAATATTGCTCTATGTCTTAAAAGATTAGAAGTTCTTACGAATGGGCTACGGCTGAGTAATTTAGATGTTTTAACCGTACTTGTGTGGATTGCCTGATTAGAAAAAGGGGATAAATCTAAAACCTGGCAGTGTGGCTTCTTATGGAATCCTGCATCACAGGAGGAGGCCATTCTTGGCCCATCATGCCTGTGCCAGCTCTTTGAATGAGCTATCCATTTAGTCCCATTCCCCCGCTCTTTCCCCACAGCCCTGCAAATTATTTTTCCGTTTTCAAGTACATATCCAATTCCCTTTTGAAAGTTATTCTTGAGTCTGCTTCTACCATCCTTTCAGACAGTGAATTCCAAATCGTAACAACTCGTTGTGAAAAATAAGTTCTCCTCTCTGTTTTTTGTTACCAATTATTTTGACTCTGTATCCTCTGGTTACCGACCCACCTGCCAGTGGAAACAGTTTCTCCTTATTTACTCTGTCAAAATTTCTCTCAACTTTTTCGGCTCTAAGGAGAACAATCCCAGTTTCTCTAGTCTCTCCACATAACAACAATAACAACAACAAAATTACATTCATAGAGGGTCTTTCACGTCGGGAGGACTTCCCAAGGCGCTGGACAGTCAGGGGTCAGGACCCGAGCATGGGGGGAAGGCAGAGATGTGGGAGGGAGACCGAAGGGGAGGGTCAATCGAAGAGGTGGGTCTTGAGACCGGCCTTGAAGGAGGCAAGGGAGGAAGCGAGGTGAAGGCACTGTGAGATGGAGTTCCAGAGTGTGGGGGCAGAGAGGCTGAAAGCTCGGCCACCGATGGTAGGGCGGGTCATGCGGGAGACATGGAGCAGGCCAGAGCCCGTTGAACGGAGAAAGCGGACAGGTTGGTAGGGAGTCAGCAGGTCAGAGAGGTAAGAGGGGGCAAGGCCATGGATTGCCTTGAAAGTGGGGATGAGGATCTTGAACTCGATCCTCTGGGGGATGGGGAGTCAGTGGAGTCGGGCGAGGGTGGGAGTGATGGGGTCATGGAGCCTGGTGCATGAGAGTACACGAGCTGCAGAGTTTTGGATGATCTGCAGCTTGTGCAGGGAAGAGTTGGGAAGGCCGATGAGGAGGGAGTTCCCGTAATCGAGCCTTGATGTGACAAATGCGTGGTTGAGGGCTTCGGCAGCCTGAGGGGTGAGGCAGTGCGGAGTCTGGCAATGTTGCGGAGGTGGTGGTAGCCAGTGCTGGTCATGGCGCGGATGTGGGGGAGAAAGGACCGTTCAGGGTCAAATAAGACGCCCACGTTCCTGACTGTCTTAGTGAGGTTGAGTGTGCAGCCGTGGAGGCTGATGCTGCCAGCGCCTGAGGTGCAATAACTGAAGATTATGTACCTAAAAGGTAATCACACAAATATCTGGCCTTCTAGTCATCTCTAATAATCACCATTATTTAATCCTGTTTGGCTGTCTTTATAATATTCTCTATTACGGAATCTATTATATGGTCTATCATGCACAGTGTGTAAATGCATGCACATTAAAAGAACAACAGGTATCCTTATAATGACATAATTTACCAATGAAAAGGTTTGAATGTTCGTTACATAATATATAAATCGTATTCAATCCTATTCCTTACATAATTTATGGCATCTGTAATTCCCACACATGTTTACACAAGGCACACTGGATGACTTGCCACACTTGTAAAGTGTAAAAAAAACTCTTTAATACAGATAAACTACAATAATACATAACGTATTAAAGAGTTTTTTTAATCCAGAGATACATCTTTATGTAGCACCCTTCACGCTGGATAACCTCAAAGCCCTGCACATTGAAGTGACTCGAACCACACACCTCGTGAACTGGCCAGCATAAAACACAGTTTCAGTCTCGTCCTTTACTGCTTAAAAATTATTTCAATGGGAAAACGTCCAAAGCACAGAATGTTTACTGGTCAAGTGAAGCAGTTAGTCAGACCTTTTGAAGTGCTGGAAGTCACACCTCGGTCCAACGGCTACTCCTCCACCAACTACAATGACAGCTTTGCTTGAGGTTTTGCGTGAATATTATTTAAACCCTTGCCTCTAGCATAGAAAAGGGCACGCATCCCACAAGCCTTTCTGCATAATAACTTCTGCATCAGATTTTGGATTGAAATCATAAATCTCAGCTCGGGCTCTGCTTCCTAGCAATGACCCGGAATAAATCACATTCTGGAACAAAGAAGGTCACGGGGTGACCTAATAGAGGTCTTTAAAATTATGAGGAGTTTTGATAGAGTCAATAAGTAGAAATCACTTCCACTGGTTGGTGAGTCAGTGACTGCAGGGCATCAATTTAAGGTAGTAAACAAATTAATGGGGAGGTCAGGAGAATTTTCTTTCACACACAGAGTGTTTGGGATATAAATGCCCTGTGGGAGGGGTGGTTGAGGCAGAATCCATATTAACTTTCAAAAGGGAACAAGATCCATATCAAAAAAGGAGTAAATTACAGGGTTATGGGAAAAGGGCAGGTAAATGGGACTGAAAGGATTGCTCTTTAGAAGAAGCAGCACAGATACTGTGGACCGAATGGTTCTATGCTTCAACATCACTGTAACTTAGAGCACTTTTCCAATACAAACTTGTGTGACCCAATTCATGAATCACCCTTGCCCATATCTATCTGTGGTCATTTGTTTCATTGTATTACTTGCAGGTAGATTATTGCTCAAGATCGGTATGACTGGCCACCCTGCATGTATTGGGCTGCCCTGCTCCTCGACGGAGCACTGTTACTGGAAGTTCTGAAGGATGACCGGTACCTTAGCTTTCTCCAGCTGCGCCTGGGCTTGTCGCTCTGCTTCTCTGCGCACAGCCTCTCGGTCTTCCTCCAGAGATACATCTGAATCAGATGGACGGCTGGTGTAGGAGTCCGCCGAACCCTGCAAAGGACCCAGGAGATAAAGAAAATATCAATTAGATTTACTACCATTTCTTTTCGGGTTGGTCGGGTGGCCGACATAAGCGGAAAATCCTTCACCATGCTTAAGAGTACCCAAACCAGACTGAGAATTCCACATAGGTATGTCACCTATGTATGGAAATTTCCCTGTGTCTAGAATGGCATGTACACTCTCTCCTCAGAGGGAAGCACCCTGTTTACCTAAAAACAGAGAGTATTAAGCGCAGGTTGACAAGAGCCAAAATTTGAGGATAAATGCAAGCACTGGGTTACTAACTACTATACCTATTTTTTGGTTAGTAAATCCAGGGCACAATCTGCATTAATCATTTTTAGAAAACTGACAGACTTCCCCTTCCTTTTCTCTTTCCCTCCAGCAATTTTTTTTGTACATTCCACAGGAAATCAATAATAAATGCTCCACAATATAACAAACGTCAAACAATTTGCTGGAACGACAGAGTTCTCATATCTTTCCCTATACCGTACGACTTTCTTTTGTGTTTAGTATTAAGAAAGCCCTCTGTGCCATCAATGTCTTTTTTTTAAAACTATTTTATACATCCAATGAGATGCAGAATCAGAGTTGTATTACAGTCCTAGCTAAACCTGAAGCAACGGTTATTAGGAATAACGGTGATAAAGAATAAATTCAAAGGATAGAAACTAACTGTGTCAAACGCATTGTGAGTCAGAATAGTGAAGAGCACAGCAGCAACACACGTCTCAGTGGAATAGTGCTCCCCTCGCCATTAGTATACTCTCAATTCCCGATACATCTATTAATTTATGCCAACAACTGTTAGATTCAGGCCAAAGCTCCTTCCCTCGCTCCCTCCCTCCCTCCCCATCACCACCACCTACTTTCCTTGCTCATGTCAGTAAAGTTGCCTGCAAATGAAATCAAAGCACTCAAGGTCACTCGGACCAGGGAGGATCCCGGCAAAGTCCTTTCCTTCCTTTAATCAAAACAGTTAACACAAAATGGTTCTAGAAATAAAAGCTGGCTGCACTCTCTTTGCTGTGTGTGTGTATGTATGTGCATGTGTGCTTGTCCCATCAGACTGAAAGTGCTGTGTGACATAGGACGACATGTCCCTCTACCCCGCCACTGCTCATAAAACAAGTGAACAACCGAAAAGCTTTGCTCTTACACAGATATCGGAGTTCTTCAAGCGTCCTCCTTTGGCTCTTTTCAGAAGCCTTATCCAGGTGGCCTTCATTAGCCAGAGAGCTAGGTTTTTGTCCTCAGCTGCTGTTTCCAGCACGGATCCAAACAAAGCATGTGGTCACTGTGCACTGCATAATCAATACTGCTTTAACTCTTAACCCATCACACAGACACGCTCGCATCAGTCTCCTTCACACTCTCCTCTTCTTTCTCATTCCAGTTTAACCAGCAATGAAGAGCTGGTGCCTTACTTGATAAATGAAGGATAAATGTTTTCCATGCTCGGAATCTTCGGGCACTTTCAAACCCCCAGTGCCACAAAGTATCTTAGTTCATTACGCAGCGAGTCAGCAGACAAGGCGGAGGAGAGAGGGAGCGAGAGAAAGAGAGCGGGTCCTGCACACGGGAACCTTGCGAAGTTCAATGTGCAATTTATTTACTGACATTTGCCAGTGCAAAGTTCAATCCATCTCTCTTGCGAGGCAAAGAGGCTGGTCACACTGCTGAGCATGCCCAGTCCGTGCTCTTTACGCAGATGCTCGCATTAGACTGTGATGTTCGCCTTCTGTCAAATTGCCATTTGAAATCTCAAGGGTAAGAGAGTATGAAAATAGCAAGGTCCTTGCAGCACGGGAACATATGCACGCCAACTGGTTGATTTTTGTCACATACCTGTCACCGATTGCATAAACTTTTAGGGTAATTTGTAGCTCAGCAGTCACATGTGTGCAGCATCTCATTTTAATTAACAGCGGCACACGGCAGCAAAATTCAGCCACTGGGAGAACCATGTAAAGAGGACAGGCTCCGACCCATAATGGAAAATTGCTTTATAAAAATAAGAATAACCCTCACACATCATGTAATACCTTTGACGTCAGGAGGACGTCTTAAAGCGTTTCACAGGATACACTGCAAAGTGGAGTGATTTTGTAGATGAATGATTTATCCGGGAGAAGAATAAAATCACAGAATCATAGAATGTTACAGCACAGAAGGAGGCCATTCGGCCTACTGGGCCAAAGCCAGCTCTTTGAAAGAACTATTCAATCAGTCCTCCTCCCCCACTTATTCCCCATTGCCTTGCAAATGTTTGCTTTTCAAGTATCTATCCAATTCCCTTTTGAAAGTTATTATTGAATCTGCTTCCACCACCCTCTCAGGCAGTGTATTCCACATAGTAACAACTTGCTGCGTTGTTTTGCTGATTATATTAAATCTGTGTCCTCTGGTTACCTACCCATATGCCAGTGGAAACAGTTTCTCTTTATTTACTCTTACCAAATCCATCATTATTTTGAACACCTTTATCAAATCTCCCTTTAACCTTCCCTGCTTCTCTAGTCTCTCCACATAACTGAAGTGCTCATCCCTAAATCTCCTTTGCACCCTCTTCAAGAGTGCAGCAAAATATTTTTAAGTTGCATGAAAACAACTGGGATTAGACAATGAGCATAGTAAGCATGAGAGGTCTAAAGACAATATGTAAAAAAATAACAAAATGCAACATATTAAAATTCCTACTGGGTCTTATTTATGTACTGATGTTAATGCACGAGAGTAATAATCCTTGCATCCTTCCTACTTCATAGAAAACATCTCCATGTGCCTCACATGATTCACTGTAAAGCAGAGTGACTGTATTTGTAGGTGAACATGGCAGCCAATTTGCACACAGCAATGTCCTATAAACAGCCACAAACTGAATGACCAATTTGTTATCTTTTCTAGCGGATCGTTGGCTAGGACCCCAGGAGAAACTCTCTTCTCTACCATACATCAGTGGGATAGAAGCAATCTTCTCCTCAATGTGATGCTGTGAAATAGGAACCACATATAGTTATTTAAACTTGCTGTCTCTCAACAACTGCCACTGAATGTTCATTTTACTTCACCTGGATTAGGATCCGACCACAAGTAATTTAATTTACTATCTTCCTTTAAATCCAAGTACCTAATACTGGGAAGTCTAACTACTGTTGTTGTTAACATGCACAAGCTCTACCTTTACATTAGCATTTCTTAACATTGCAGTGCCACAGATTTCTTCCCCTCGGTTTATATATTGAATGGTCTGATCTAGTATTGGTATCTTTTTTTCCTGCCTGCATTGTACATCGTATGAAGGTAACTTCATATGCAGAGGCACTGGGAGGTGCTTGCGATAGTCATTTATACTTTCAATGTGAATAATGGCAAAATAAATGACTCTATCCTGGAGTCCCTCTGACTCCCTCCCCTCTTTTAAGGCATGCAACAAAATGTATCTCTTTGACCACACTTTCAGTTATATTTCCCCTCCCTTCCAGTTCTCGGCTCCAACCACCAGCTCAGGTGCCCAATCAATATTGTCTAGTGCTTTGAGATATTCAAATAATGTGAAAGGCACTAAATAAATGTAAAATGTATTTATAAAAGCTTTGAAATTCATAATGTATAAAATTGATGAATGCAGTCACCTGTAGTTTGGGAGGGAAATATGACCATGAGTATGAATCCTGCTGAGAAATCAGATACCAAGTCAATTGTGACTCCAGGATGAGGGGTAGTGAAACTTAAGAATGTTTATCTGGGGCGAGAGGGTGTTTCCTTTGTTAAATTTATTAATGTTAAAGGATGCATTTCTTAATTCTAAAATTTATCTTATATAAAATTTGAGTGCCTTATTGTACAGATAAGTACTCACATTCTTCAATCCACTTGAATGTTAATCGACAGGCACAGAATCGTGGTCTCCCAGTGGGCACTGCAATAATTTCACATCACCTGCCAATGTGTTTGGTTATTATAGGCTCTCAGGTTATGTTGGCAGTCTGCACCGTGCAGTATAGAGATTTACTGGAATCATGTTAAAATCTAAAATCTTCCCTTTTTGATTTTAAATCTAATCTGTACCATGTTGGTTAGAGCACTTGCCTCTCAAGCGAGAGGACCTGGATTCGATTCCTGGGCAGGGCAAAACTTTTGGCAAGTTTCCTTACTCCACAAGCCTCTGTTTACCTAGCAGTAGGTAGGCATCCGGTTGTTAGTCAATTGATAGATCGTTTTTCTGGGGATAATAATCCCTTCAATCAATAAATAAAAATAATAATTTAGTCATTCAATCCATGACTGTTTGTGGGACACTGCAATTGGCTACTGTGTTTCGCCCACAAGAACAATGAAGAGTTAAGACAGACAACTTTGCCAATAAATGAACTCTATGACAAAAAACCAAATGCCCCAAACAATAATCTGAATGGTTGTAGTGAAGATCAGATTCCATTTTAAACTTGTTTTAGAGCAAACAGCTCCAGTGAATCAGCTAGAACCAGCAGAGACATGATAGACTGGGTGACCTTCTATTGTACTGTAAACATTTAGGTAGATTTCTGGGTAAAGCATATCATGTAATGTAAGGCAACCCCTTTATCACACGTGTCCATAATATCCCTGTATTGAAACGAAGCACAAAGAAAACACATCAGCCAATTTGCACGCAGCAATGTTCCACGAACAACCAACTTCTCAGGGGGATTGTTGGCCCAGACACTGGGAGAAACTTCCTGCTCTTTTTGAATAGTGCCGTGGGATCTTTAATGTCAATGTGAAGCAGACAGGAGCTCGGTTCAGAACTGTGTCTCATATGACACAGTTCTGAAAATGTAACAACTAGCATCTATATAGCGCCTTCATGCAAGGTGACATCTCAGAGTGCTCACCAGTGACATAGCTTGACACCGAGCCACAGTCTAAGAGGAAGTTATAGGTGAAGACAAGAGCTTCTCATAAATAGTTACTAAATTTAAAGATTTGACTTGTACTAAAGA